ATTTTCACACTACTGTTCAATTTATATATTATTGGTTTTAATGCAGTAAAAAGGTTGCTGACGATAACCCATTTAATAGGTTCCTATCAAAACGTTATTTTTAAAAGCTATGAAGTTATTGTTTACTTTTTACGGAGCAGTAAAACAGTATTATTCGCCGGAGCTGTAACAATAAAATAATGGAATAAATTAATTAATCAAAGCGAAACGAAAGATGCAATGATAAGATCACGAGCCACCTGGGTGATGGTTAGTTCCTAAATAGCTGTCGGACGCCGCTAACCTACGTAGACTGGCATCACTTGAGGGCAGTTTATTGATAGACCTGAAGGCAGCATTCGCCAGTTTTGTAAGTGCGACCTTATGCCAAGGTCGGGGGATACACTCCTACTTTGTTTCCCTTCGGAAAATAGCTACTGGTTATCCGTCATATATATTCTTAGTTCGAAGTTCTCACGTCATTTAAGAAATAAGTTCGAAGATTCCGTTTAAGTACTCATGAATAACTTATAAAAATTTATAAATGTTTCTTTGATGGGTACGTTCATTATACAGGATGTCCTTTAAGTAGAGGGGAATATTTAAAAGGTTGATAGTAGACATAAAGATCTACAAAAAAGTTCATATAAACAATTGCCCAATTTCCAGCAGAAACTTAGGAAATTTAAAATTTGTGTTTTTTTAAAGTGAGTCACGTTTTTTGTTGAATATGAAGCGATAACATAAAAATATTTGATTAAATTAATTAAAAATAGCTCCATAGTAAACTAGATACGATTTATTTTAAACGAAAGTAGAGTTTGTTATTGTTTAAACTATTTAAAGAGGACTTTTGAGCGAACAAAGTCTGTTTTTAACTTAACTGTTTTTTTTAACGAAACAGTTAAGTTCTGTTAAAAAAACAATCATAAATTATTGATTTTGGTTTATTATTTACAATGATGGAACAAATTAATTCAAAATCTTAAAAGAATTCGAAAAACGAAAAAAAAGTATTGCCGTCCGCGCATTTTCTCCGAAACTAATGAACCTATATTTTTCAAATTTGGATTTAAAGTGAGAGTTCACCCGAGGATAATCCTTCTTTATCGGCATTACTTCCTACCTTTTTCTTTTATGATGGCGACCGAAAAACCTGCGTTGTTAAAAAATGTAGTGCCTAAGCGAATGTCCCGATTTCAATGAAATTTAGCTAATCTCTTCTTCTCGATGTTCTTTAAGTTTATCTATAGAACATACTTCAATGAAAAGAAACTGGAAAAAAGTTACGAGAGATGGTAAAATTAGATGGTAAAATATACTCTTAAAAGTTCTGGCTCAATCATTGTATTTTGTGATGAATTTTTTTTTTTTTAACTTCTTTATTGAGATATTACAATCTGCCACATTCAAGGACAATAGTGATAGTGATATAGAGTAGCTCATTCATACCATACAATAAATAAAAATAATAAACGGCAATATAATAACGCTAAAGTAAATTGTATATAAACTAAAAGATATTAAACTAAATAAAAATAAACCAATTTAACAAAATAAATAAATCAGACATACATGGCTTGAGTGGAGAATCTGACCATTGCCATAACTCCTATATATTCATACAATTCTCTGGGCTACTGCCGCTTCAACCTTCGAGGAGGATTGTAGGGATGGCTGGAGCTACATAGGGATTGTGCAATTGGATTTGGATGATATGTAAGGTTTTGGTGGAATTTGGAAAATTTTTGAGGGAAAAGGTTTAGGACAAATGGGATATTAACGTCATGATGTAGGGTTTGGTTGGTTACGAAGATATGGCTTTGTAACAAAAAAATACCATCAACAAATAAGATGTAAAGTTGTTTTAATTTCTTATGTTCAAGTAAGTAATTATTTGTGCGATCTATAGCGATAAATGAAATAATTTAACCTTGAAGATGATGATGGACATAAAAAATAAAAGAAACCGCGAAAAGTTATTAAAAAGGTCGAATGATTACTTTAACTGTTACATGTCATTCTTTCAAGAAATAAAAAAAATATTGATTTATTTTATTAATATTGATATAATTTATATTTACTAGGAAATAGTTTTTATTCATCAAAATTTTGACCTCGAGATAAAGATAAAGTTTTAATTTTACTCTATCCGTATTTTGTTACAAGTTTTCATAAAATGTAGTGCTAAATAAAATGTTTTAATGTTTTAGTGGTATATAGAAACATTTCATGCGTTTATAAAACTTTTCTTATATCCATTTAGCCTTAATAGTTCTTTTTATTTCATCATAAACAGATGATATCTTCACTATCATTTCAAATAGAACTTATCCTTATGCAACCTTTAAGTTCGCAAAAGGACTGACGTTCCATACTTTCTAATGAAAGGGTGTGACCAGTCTCAGGTAATAGCTACAGCATTCTTGAGACTGTCCAATCCAATGCAGTTAGATTTCTAGAGATATTCCAAAAACAGAGAAAATATCCCTAAAGAATATAACGCTGAATAGTTATTTTGAGCTCTAAAGAATCAGCTACTGAATTCGTATGATCAGTGGTACTCATAAAAATAAAATCATTCATCAATAAAATATCAATCAACCATAGCAAAGATTTATATAATATACTTTCTATGGTAAATTTAAAATGAAATAATTTAAAAAATATATAATTACTCGTAAATACTTATCATAATGTTGGCATTTATAAGGATTTCTTAATAATATATTTCAATTCATATTTATGATCATGAGAAAGACTCTCAAAGAGGGCACCTTAAGATTAAATCGAAATACTTATCTTTTAGGCGTTATTTTTGAAATTTCCTAATGATGCTGATATATTTTGAGGTATTCCGATATCTTTTAACTGTAGGTTTGACGGTATAAAAAGGGCACTCTTTCAAAACATGTTTTGTAGTTAATGACTGGTCACACGTTTGGCATCTGGGGGTAGGATCTTTTGTTATGAGGTGGAAGTGTGTCAGTATGTATGTCCGATCCTCAGCCGCGTGAGGACGACCTCTTCTCTACGAATGCTGCGTTTGGAGCTGGTCCACGGTAGCACCTCTTCCTTTATTGTCTTCAATTTGCTAGTTGCGCTGTTGTCCCTCGGTCTTTGCCATTCTTGGGATATGGCTTCTCTTAGAGATCGTGCAAGTTCAGATGGTGTCGAAAAAGCTTTACCGCGCCCTGGAAGTGTAACAGCTCCTTTTGCTGCTCTATCAGCCATTTCGTTTCCTTTAACGTGTATATGGTCAGGGGACCAGATAAAATGTGTCGTTGTTCCAACTTCATGAAGCATTTTTATAAGACTTAGAATGCAGACTTATAATCCTTAACAACTTAAGACTTACAATAATCCTTAGTAGAGAGTTCCTAAGGAGCTTTCCTTAGAAACATTAATGAATACGGTCTCAATTCTCAAAATTCCTTAATAAATTAATTTCCGTCTAGGTTATCTAAAATATTTCCAACAAATGCATATTGGTAAAGAAAAATAAGATAAAATACAATAAGTTTAATATAAAAATAATAATCATTTTAAATCAAGTTATTGAAGTGTTTAACAGGAAAATACATTTTAAAAAATATATTTCATTTAATTAAACAAAATATTGATTGATTAGGTAGAACTTCTCGGTTATTTTTAAATCACCATATATTCCTAGTTGTATTCCCAGCAATTGTCAACAATAGATACATTATTTTTTCGGTGTATTTTTATACGACTTCATTATATTTTATTATGAACTTTCGTCTTTTTAATTGTATGTAAGTAGCTTTTCACATATCCTTACAAGATTCAGCGGGTAGCTTATATTTCAATTTACCATCGGAAATGATAGGTTCACAAGTGGCGGTGAATTGGTTACGAAACAATTTGTTTACTATGGACTTCATGAAGTTACACATTTTTTAAAATAATTTATTTCCGGTTTATTTATTTTTGTCTAAATCGCTTAAATAAGTATTTCAGTTGACAGAATGACTAACTCCAATTTCAATATTTTTTAATAAAGTCATTTTAGTGATATTTCTAATTGGAAAATTTATAACTGTACTGACAGTGAGTAAATTGATACCAGAATAGGTGATCGCAGTGTTGAAACATAGGACTGTTAATAAAGGAATACCTTTTCCCACTAAAATTAATAATAAAAATGTTGAAATTGGAGTTAGTCATTCTGTCAACTCAACGGCTCATATATTTTTATCACTGTTTTTAAAATATACCACCGACTATTTTAAGTAATATAACTTTTTTTCATTTTATCTTTTTATTTATAATGGTGAACAAACCATGATGCCTTGATCAACCTTAAATTGTTTTATTGTTCATAAAGGTCCTTCAGTCAGCTTCTTATTATAATTTAAAGATTGTACAATAGAACAGAAAATTGAACTTTATTCTGGGATTAAGTCCCCTTAGAATAACAATAATTTACAAAAGAAAGTACAAATCTGGCCAACAACTAACTTATAAAAATTCTAACATCATAAACATTATTTAAAAAATAGTATGTAACCACTAAAAAATAAACAAAAAAAAAATTGTAGATGAAATTTAAAATTTAGATATACGTATCCTATTTTAGATTAAAAGGTTTGTATTTTTGAAGGCTTGTCTTTTTACCTATAGCAAATGTTTGTTAGCGGGTACTTAAGCCGGGATTAGGGAAGAAGCCGTAGTCGATAACTGAGTTATGCGGGTTGAAGTAAATACGAGTAAGCTATATACACAGTATGTCACTATGATCATGTTTAAAAATAGGAAGACAGTTTGGTATATTATGTTAATATGCTTTTCGTTCGTCAATATGCTTTGTGATATCTTTTTTTTTACTATTTTATTACCTTATAATTTGATTAGAAATGTAAACAACATTAATGATTCATGTGGGGTTTTATATAAGACGCATGTTTGCATCTCTAATATCATGCAATCTTACAAGCGGATATTAACCTTACCTTATTTTTTTTTTTTTATGATTATAATTTTTACCTTTTATGTTTCAGGCGAACAGGGTGAAACTGAATTACATTGTGGTTGGAAAAACCAGAACATCAGCAGATGAGACTGGCAGATACGTCTCCTCAAAGAAGTTACTTTTAAAGATATTCGCATAACACTCAACTTAAATTTTTATTTGCATAGTAAGTACATATTTACATATAATGATATTTTAAATTATTCATTGCTTATTATTTTTAAAAGAGCATCCTTTGATTCTTAGAATCTTAGTGTTGTTGTTATAATAAATGAATAAGTTAATATAATCACTGGTATAAATTAAATATTAATAACTGTTCACAAACAAACTAGCTGTATCCATTTTTATATAATCGTTTGAGTCTAACATGGTTGTGGATTTTGTTTGAAATAAAAGTATGACGAAAATTATTCTAGACTAATCGGAATATTTAAAATACTTTATTTGTTATGGTACATATGCACATGCATACAAAAATGGTCATATGCACAGATTTTTTATCCGACTTAATTAGTCTAGGAAATGTTTTCTCATCTTATATCATCATACTAAACATTATGCACTCAATAAAGTCCGCAAATCTAATCAGCAATTTTCGTCTGGATCCCTGGCCATTGCGGAATAGCCGGTAATGAACTGGTTGATCACGCCCCCAAAAAAGCCATACTGATGGAATACCTTATCCGGAGTACCTGTTGAGGATTTTATAACCATCATCAAAGAGAAAATGAAGACAAAATGGAAACAGATATAGTTGAATGTAACTGAAAATAAATTGAGGAAGATTAAGTGTGACGTTTCCTCTTGGGCATCGTCAAATAGAAATAACCGCAGAGAGGAAGCAATTCTTACGCGCCTGCGTATAGGTCATGCACTCTTTACCCATGGATACCTGAAAGCCCGTGATTCTTCGCCAACATGCCAAACCTGTGGGACTCCTCTGACAGTGAAACATATTTTAACAGAATGCAGAGCTTACGAAACATTTAGACTATCTTGTGACTTGACAAATGATTTTCACATCATTTTACAGGAAAATACAAATGAAATCGACAAATTATTTTCTTTTCTGAAATTTTCGAAACTTGAAGAATCTAATTCTCAATGAAATAAGGCGATAATGACCCTAGAGGTTGAAGCCTTTAATTTAAAAGAAAAAATATTTTTCTTTTATAGTCTAGGTAAATTTAAAAAAACTTAGTTAACAAAATAAGTTGAGATTATATTTCCTTTTACATTAACTGAAATCAAATATCACAAAATATCTTTTCAATTGCAGTCCTTTTTGAAATAAAAATATTAACAGAAAATTTTTTATTTATATTTCAAGTTATTAAAAAAAAAAATGATTTTAAAAAATTTATCATGGGTGATAAATATTCAGGATGCAGTCATAATAAAGTTTTTATTGGTGCCGACATTTCAACCCAAACATGTGGGTCATCATCATTACTTTTGCTTGGTTCATTTCATTACTAGCCAATAGTCACAATTTTGTAACTATACGAAACATTTATAATTTCAAATCCCAAAAATAAATCTTTCTTTCCGATTTGCACTGTAAAATTGACGAAATTGAACGTCTTGTGCCTTTATATCTGTTTATTTTAAACATTTGGTAGTAATAATATTTATATTACTTAATTTTTCCTTTTATATTGCGTTATGTAATAAAATAACAATAAAAACTTCATTCTAAAAAGTATAAAATCATCATGAGAAATTTTCTCATACATGACATGCCTATGTGTATCCAACGAATTTATAATACTCATAAATGCTTTCTTGATTAATTTAAATTGCAAAATAAATTGAAAATACTATTTATAAATTATAGATGAATTTAGATTTTAATTTGTCGGGATTAAGAAACACGAAATTATAATTTCTAACGTATAAATTAGCTTAACATAATTTGATTGTTGTTCATAAAAGTGATAATAGCAATTATACAAATCTAAAATTTAAGTTTCATTAGCTTTCTTAATTCCTAAATGATATGTATACTAAATCTGAGATGTATCCCATTTATTTAACTTTAAGAAAAATACTTTTTTGTAAGACTATTAATTTAGTTTGATAGTTTTTTCTGAATCTAGAGTACGAAATGCTGATTAATTTTCGTATTACACAATTCATATGCCGAATTGTCAAGTGAGATTAATACGCATGATTCAGTTTCTAAAGTATTTTTGAAGAAAACGTCATTATCACGCTAGACTACATACGGCAGTTAAACATTCTTTAATCTGGAACTTATCTATATCGTAATGGATTTTATCGGATATTTCGAATTTCTCCTTTTTTTTCTCTCCTCTTAGCTATCAACAAACTACTTGAAAATTTTAACTACAATATTAAAGTTAATTCTTGTTTACATTCAACATATCGTCCAGGGTTAAGTATCTTCAACAGTTCAATTTTTTTTCCCTTTGTTTGCTCGAATAATAGTTAATGAAGATTATAACTGGATTGTTGATACGCGTTATCGGTTTTAATTGAAAATTCACTTATATCATGTCCCTATCATTACCTATTTACGTGTTTAAGTTTAGAAATACATTCCGGCAAATTAATTAATTAGATTAGCAAAAAAAAATAACAATAATATATAAAAATTCTTCAACCAGGAGATAGGATATATCATAACTTTAATTTAATTAATATAAATTAATTAAATACAATTATTGATGATATGGCAATAATTTATCGGTTGTAAACATTAAATAATAAATATCATGTCTCCAAACTTTAAGCGGTTTATTCAATATCAGTTTTTGAATAATGTTTTTATTTATATACAATATTTATATATCATGTTGATTTAAATCGAAACTTTAAATACTTAAATTAATTATGAGCTAGTATTATTTGAAAAATTATAAAACCTCTATTAGTTTTATACTATCTAGTTTTTATACAAACTTTATGATTTTAATTTAATTTGTTCAAAAATCAAAGCGGAATTATTAAAAAAAAAAAAAATTGCCAAATTAAGGATAGCTTCTTCACCATTTTTATAGCATACATGAGAAAATATGCATATAAGCATGAACTTCACTAAGGTTATAATTTAAAAAATATATAATAGTCATATAAAACAAATCTAATAAATTATATTAACATTGAAACTAATATTATTAGGTTAATATATCTCTTTGCGCTATGTTTACTCCCTACTCATTTCAGAACCATTCTCAACAATTTAGTTAATTTGAATTCTTATGTGGAAATTAATACCAAACCTTTTTTGCACTATTCCTCAAATTTCCTCCAGCATTGGACCAAATCGTATGAGCCTTTTAAAGCCGCAAAATATAGGCGGAAAGGGGAGAAACGCGTTAGACCGTCCATAAAAAAAAAAAATAGAGAATGGTATTTGATAAGCCAGAAGCGGAGGAAGTGGAAGGAATTTGATATAGGACCATCTAGGTACCAACCCTCAGAATCCCAGATAGTTTTATCAAAACCGAATTATCGGTGGACAAGGAGCCTTCTTCACCTTCTTCGACTCGAAGAGATTTCTTTCTTAAATATTGAATATTACTATATCTGATAAAGGAATACTTGAAATAAAATGAAGAGTGTCCTATATCGTTTAATGTTTTCATAGTTAAATATAAACGAATCGGTTCGTTTTCACATTTCTCGGTTTCTGGAAGTAAAGTTAAATTATCGGAATTGTTACTAAACCATTACTCTTGTAAATATCGCTTAATGCATGTTTCCTTATCTTGTAGAACCTGCCAAACATTACAGGACAATAATAGAGATACAGACCTTGTGGATTAACTAGTGTAAACAGGGCAATATACTTCAGTCGTATTTGTCTAACGTTTCGTTGCTGTATGGTTTGATAGGTATATAAGTTACCTCGAGGAAAATGGAAGTGGTAAATATCCGTCGTCACAACTCTGCTCCCGACATCACACACCACCTCAGTAATTTTCTCGTATCCCCACTGTGAGTAAGAAGCGCTAGTACAATAATTTTAAATTTATAATAGAGATAAATTTTAGTTTACTAACAGAAAGTATATCGCCGTCCCCTCTATTACATAACAAAAAAAGTAAATAAATCATGTATATTAATTAGCTTTGAGAGCAGGACCGTGTTTTAAATTTGTACGATCATATACTCAATAGATTTTGCCTCTCAATTTTTACCATTTAAGACGATTTTCCTGAATAAAAAATCTAATCATAATGTAAACCAAGAAACAATAAAAAAGAATTATAAATAAAGACTTTTCTTAATTTTTTGCAAACATTTTTACAATCTATTTTTTTTAATTTTTTTTTTTACGCCATTGTGTGTCTAGTATAAAAATCCGGATCTTGCTAAGAGCAATAAACACTCCAATTTGACGTAAACAAAAATAAACTAAATCAACTTAAAACATGCAAACACGCATTCACTGATTAGATGTCAAAACTGTCATGATAAAACAAAACGATGAATTATTTAAAAAAAAAATCAGAACATTTTACATAATTAATAACCACTCAACAACTGTAAATCTATAAATGAAGTATAATATATAGATTTTATATTTTAATTAATCAATATGTTTAATTGTATTATTAAATTTATATTTAAATGATATTATCTTCGTCTCCTTTTAGCAATCGTTATTAACCACTACTGAATTGTATTTGAAAATTTATATATCTACAGTGAAAGTAAATGAACAAAATATAATTAATTTAAAAAAAGAAAGAAACAGAATTAACAATTAATTAAAAAAAAAAAACAGCCTCTTTGATTAACTAAGCACGGATTTTAAGGTTGAATTACATTTTCGATGGATTTACCTGACTTATATTTAGTATTAATAATCAAAAGACAACCAAATCCATTTAAAAAGTATTACATGGAAAAAGTGTTTTGCTTCGCTGCCTCGGATAGAGATCGGCTATAATTGTAAATCTGAATATTATAATCAAAAATTGTTTTTCAGTTTTCCCCGGTATCTACAATTTACAATACTAAATAGAATTGCAACAATTTCGTTATTTCTATTCTTCTTTTCATACAATTTACATATTTAGTCACACAACCCCTTCTAGATATATACCTTTGGAAGTTAAAGTATTGAAATTAAAGTTCGTAGTATCCAATTTCAAACGTGTCAAATTTTCAATTTTTTTTTGCGGTACTGAT